ATTACAAGATTCAACCGTTATCATTCTTAATTTGCTAAAAGATGATTCTTTAACCAAACCATGACATATCTTCTCCATTTGTTCCAAATTATGTAGAACTAACACCTCCAATACAGGAAATGCAGGCTTCATTGAGTTAATGCTATCTTGATCAACATTGTGAGCATCATGCTTCATTGAGTTAATGACATGTTGAACACTCTGAGCATCTTGGATAAAGAGATACTTCAATTCTTGAAAGCCTTCCTCATCTAACTGATGAACAACATTATTGACACCACTCAACCCTTGTAGATGTAGTTCCTCTGTCTTCTTTAGCAACTTCTTAACTGAATGCTCAGAACTAATTTTTGCATCTAGCTTTAGCTTCACTATTTTTGAACTTCCATAAGAACTATCCCAGGAGTGCCACATATCTCCTACGAAAATCTTGTATCTTGCCAAATTTTCAGAGAACAAGTCTCCTTCAATCATTTGGATATTGCAAATATTAATTTGTACCTCTAAAGCAGTTAGGTTCAATAATTGCTCCAACTCAGAAAGTCTAGCAACTTTTTTCTCCTGTTCCTTAACAACCTCCGCCCATTGATCGAAACTGTTTCTCATATATAGTTCTTCTAAACTTAGCAGCCCTGACAAGACATCTGGTGGAATTACTTTGACTTTGGTACAATCACTCAAATCTAACAACTTCAGGTTAGTTAGTTGCCTTATTTCCTTTGGCAGCTCTTCGAGATCACATCCCACAAGGCTGAGGACTTGCAAATATCCCAGCCTTGTTATAATTGCGCCCATGTCTGCATCTCGCAACACACTTTGATCCAGACGCAAGGTAAGAAGGTTATATGGAAGGGAAATTGACTGAGGCATTGAGCAAGTTTTAGTCAAACCCAGGACTTTGAGCCCCTTAGTTCCTGTAAACAAGTCTACTGGAATTGGTTTAGAAGGATCCTCTTTAGACAAATGAAAGAAAGTGAGCTGCGGACAGTTCAGCTGATCTGTTGGAAGCTCACTAGTATCTGATAAATGCAACCATTTGATGCTCTCCATTTCCTCCCAGTTGTTCAGTCCAACTTCTCCGAAGGCAATTGATTTGGCAAAAATCATGAGAAGATCATGCATATCAAAATGCATATGACCGTCACTATCCAGCAACAAAGAAAAATATCTGAGTTTAGTCATTGAATTCAGTAATGCATCTCGTGCTTCCTCCACAGATTTGGCTCCTGGGAATAAATCCAAGCCTATGGTATATTTCAACAAGTCTTGAATAGCTGCATTATGACCCATTATACTACAAAGCAAAAAAGTTTGTTGGAGTGCGGAGCTTTTTAAACAATCATAACTTCGATAGAAAGCTGAATGAAGGCTTCGATGGCTTTGT